TATATATATATATATATATATATATATATATATATATATATATATATATATAAAAAGAGAGCAATAAAAAAGTGAAGTGGCATGTCTCTTTGGCCAAGAATCACATTTATCTTTTTTCTCAAATTTTTGACATTTCCCCATTTTCCTCTATTTATGTGCTATATTAAAATATTCAAAAGTCATTTCTTAATTATATTCTCCTTAATTACACCTCTGTTAGACCGTTAGTCATCTTTCTACCCAACTCTTTTTCAGTTTAGAAAGTCCAAAAGTCTCTATTATTAATTATCTAAATACTTTTACCTTCAATGATGACTATTGTAACATATTTAACATGCCGCTCTGATCACCACATGGGGAGGAGTTTACAGATTCTAATCTTTTATCATCACAGCCATCTTCATTCATGCATGGTGAGAATTCTCTGTATAATTCTCTACTAAACTTTTTAACCAGTTTGTCGCTTTAGAATTGAGTTTATTTTTCTTATCAATCTACTTAACTTGGTTAGGATTTCCAGAAACACATGATATGTTTGAATACTGAATTGCTGAAGCTTTTGCCCCTTTTTTTGACCCTTCTGTTATGGAAGGTGTTTTTGTTATACAAACATTTAATTTAGTTGGATCATTATTTTTGCCTTTTTTTTTTTTTGGATTTTCCCTGAAAGAAATATAATAATTTAAAACATTTTGCTCAACGCACTCTTTTACCTTTTAGCGACGTTACTAATTAGAGAACAAATTTGTCATTATTCATGGCATATTATTTAGAGGAGAATGAAATTGCTTTCTCTTGCTTTTCATTATTTTCTTAGAATGTCCTATTCTTTTCTTACACAGTTGGTTCTTGAGAGGGATGATTGGTTGATAAGGGTTATAATTTGTAGAATGTGGGATTCTTTCGGTCCCAAAAAAAAGGAGAGTTGATTGGCTTGGATATAATATTTATTGATAAAAAGGTACCTACATGATTCTTATACTTTTATATATAGATTATCTTTGTGGCTTTAATCTCAAAATACTTACCTCTTTTCTTTTATCAGAAAAACTTGATGCATGCTACAAATTTAAGGATTGCATTGCAAGTAAATGTAGTGGTATACGTTTTTACTTAGAGATTTGCAGGTCCCTTTAATTTCTCTCCCTCATTATTTTTTCTTTACTTCTTTATTGTATAAGGTTTCTTTTTTTCTTTCTTTCTTTCTTTCTTTTATCTTGCTACGAAACTTGGAAATCTTTGTGCCTGAATATTTTGTCCATGAGAAATTTATTCATAGTTCTTGATTTTGTTTCTTGGTATTTTCTTGCAGTTTTTTTCCTTAGTGGAAATAACCTTTTACGTGATCTTAAGGTGGAACTTTTCTCAGTATGAAAAATAATGCTTCGGTGCTTGGCAGAAGAGCTGCTATTTGGGTAGTCTATGATTTTAAAAAATCAATACTGACTCATTCATTTGGTGGCCTGGTGATAATTATCGTGGCTGCTAAAAATTAAAATAAATACTAGAAGTTATTTTTGGTTCGTGATATGATGGTTTATGAATTATGCCCAGTGAAAGACAAACTCCAATCATTCTGATGATTAAGATGGAGATTGGAGATGATTATGATTTTTAAGGTTAATATTTTGAACTTTTAGTTCCACGAGTTATTTTCTTCTGCTGTGAAAATAAAAATGAGAATGAAGAGGAGCGGAATGTGCTATGATGCTAACAGATGTATGCAAGTTGAATGTCAAATTAGCCCTAACTGTTGCGGTAATAATAATACAAGACTGTTCACTTATTCGACCGTGAGCATCTTTGTCCTTACTAATATATTACGTAATTCTTTTTATTTTTATTTGAACTTTATGATAGGGTATTCATAGAGATAGAGTGATGCATATAAGCACCACACAATATCCATGGACAAACATCTATCCTGTTTAAGCCTGTAGGAACTCCCAATAATATCAGTATCTTATCTGGAATTTGTGAAAATCACTAGAGTTTTTGCCTACTCTGCCTTCTTTTGTAATTTTGTTAAGTAGTTTAGTTTGGCATAGAGAATGACAGTTGAAATTTTAGTCTAGGTTCATAAGAATTCTCTTATGTTGAATTTGTCGGATAAACTTCAAATGAAACGAAATGAGCAGATAATATTTGGAAATTATGCAATTTTACTGCTATAATTTAACGATTTTGATGCTATGAAGGCATTATTTCAGAGTGAAAAAGTAAATAGCTTGGAAAGGTGACAGAAAGTTAGAGCCGAAAAAATGGAAGTAAGAAAAGAAGGAAAACAAAAAGAAAAAGTTTTTTTAAAAAAGGGAAAATGAAAGGAAAAATAAAGACAAAAAATTTCCGAAAGATGTTGTTCAAAGCAGTCATTTTTCTTGAAATTATATTTTGGCTTTACATTATTTTAAGAAAAATAAAAAAGATTAGTGTACCTATATATTAATAGAATCTTTACACAAATAGCCGGCGATATTTATCGTTTACTTTTTCTAGCCATATACATAGATTATACATTAATTATATATAATTATACACATATAAGACATAAATTATGCATATATTATACGTCAATCGGCTATTTTTAGTTTAAGTGGTTGGGTGGGTGACTATATGGGTTAATTCTTCTATATTAAAGGATCACAAAAGTAGAAAATTAGAGATATATTTACAACTAAGTGTTACAATATGGATTAGGAGTTCCAATGCAATAATATATAAATTTTAATTTAAATAATTAGGTACTATAAAAAAATATTTGTAAATTTAATAATATCTTTTATTACTACGTGAAGCGTGGACAAATTCACTCGTTATGAATAAAGGACTAACCTTGTACTGAAAATCAAAGTAGCCTTGTAAACATGATCCACAACCTTTATAAAAGAAGGTTTAAAAGGCAGTGATCGGTCGATCCAAACACCATTAGCAACGGACAAAATCGGACCTCCACTGGGGCTTCCATCAGCAAAACTTTGGTGACAATATGAGAATACATAGAATTAAGGTCGTCAATGGATTTGGACTTGAGGAAAGAGAGCAGCTGGTCCCGAGTTTGTCCATTGGAGCCGGCGGCAATTAGGTCAAGAACTATTTGAACAGAGAGAGGAGAGAACACCAGGTTCGAATCACCTTTAACTTCTTTGTACAAAACGTGCTTAGTTAGCATGAAAGAAACGTCAGTTTGGTTGGTATGAACTCTTCCATATCCATATTTGCTTGCGAAGAAGATGATTGAGAGAGTGAGTGAGTCTTCCTCTTCTTTTTCTTACCAATATTTCACCATGACAATGAGAGAGTAAAACCCTTCTTCCAAAAGTGTAAAAATTAAATTCCCAAATTTTCTTGCCAGTGGGAGAATAGAAGAAGTAAATGATGTCTGTCTTAAGCTAAACAATCTTTAAGTAGATTTTAACTTTAATCATTCAAGTTAACGAGTAACTATTGAGCCCTTTAGTTAGCATAAGATAGAGAACCGAGACTCCTTATATTGAGATTTCCCCGAATTTCTGCTACATTCAAGTCTTAATTCAAAGAAGGACAAGTCCTTATCATCCTGATCGGGGGATAGACAGGCCTGCAGGTCAGCACCCTTGGGCTACTGTTGCAGTAGGGAATTAACGTTAGGAGTAATTGGCTAATAACACAAGTTCTGGTAAATTCTTTTAAGCAGAAGAAGCTAAACATGCTTAAAATTCTTTTACCGGTCCAAATATCATATTATTGCACCTGTATAAAGAGACACTAAGCTATACAAGAAACTAGTCATAGCACACTTTTAACCAGCTACTAGACTCAACTAAGGTCTCAAATAAGCCACTTATGAACTACTACATAGACATGTTAGCATTCATACTTAGTACAAAGTACTCCTTACTACTACAGAGCGACTTAATTAACAAGAGGATTAAGCACAATCCCTATGAACAATACAGTTGCAGTTGTATCCTCTCGTATAAAGAACAAAAACGGATGATCAGCAACAAAGTCAATTTTGTATTCATTTATTGGCGAAGCACACAAAAATATCGTCGAGGCAGTAACAGCTGCAGCTTCTGTTCCGTCTTCATTAACCTCAATAAAGGACTTATGAAAAATGTCTGAAACTAACAGGTTTTTAGCCTGAGGAGAATCCACCATTTCAGTGAGATCATCCTTAGAGAAAGGTAACATAAGACCAAGTCCTTTCAGAATCTTGGAAGCTTCAAATCCAAAAGATAGTTTTAAATTTTGGTATAAGAAACTTCCCTACTTTTACTTTTCTTACAGGAAGGTGCTGCTCTATGAATCCAGATTTTGAACTGACCTTGTCTATTAAAGCGCACTGTGAGCACCTAATTTTTGACTATATTTGAATTTTTATCGCCTTCTATTATGTAAATATTTTTTGAAATTTAATATATATTTTTTAGCTTTGTTACACTTTTTCTTTTATATATTGGGTAAAAATTAATAATAATTTAAAAGGTCAATTATTACTATTAGTATTATTTTTATTTTTATTTTTATCTTTATTTTAAAATAAAATAAATTAAAAAATCGAAAAAAAAATTAAATATTTTTTAAAAAAAATTTGGATGGCAATAAAAAAAATAGGAAAAGTAGAAATATATAATTAAAAAAGTACAGGTAAAAGTAGGTGGAAATTGTTTAATAAAAAAGTAAAAGAAAGTGAAAAATTTTAAAAAAATAAAAGTAAAAGAATGTGGAAATTTAAAAAATAAAAAGTAAAAGAAAGTGAAAAATTTTAAAAAAATAAAAGTAAAAGAATGTGGAAATTTAAAAAATAAAAAGTAAAAGAAAGTTGGAACTGAAAAAAAAAGTAAAGGTAGCTGAATTTTTTTTTTTAAAAAGTAAAAGTAAGTGGAAATTAAAAAAAGAAAAGTAAAATAAGTGAAAAATAAAAAAAAAAAGTAAAAAAAGTGAGAATTTAAATATAATAAAAGTAAAAAAGTGAGAAATTAAAAAATAAAAGTAAAGAAAAGTGGAGAATTATTTTTTAAAAAAAGAAGATAAAGGGAAGTGAGAATGTTTTTAATTAAAAAAATAAAAAAATAAAAAAATAATTAAAAAATCTGAAAAATTCCGAAATTTTTTCTATAAATAGAAGAGAAGTGTGAGGAGAGAAAGAGAGAAAAAGGAGAAAAAATAGGGAGGAGGGAATTGAGAGAAATTTATTTTCTTCTTTTATGATAAAGGAATTTCTACTCGTGTCATTCTTTCTTTCGAAAAAACCAGCACCTTCACCACCCTAAAACCCATAAAAGTCGATCCAAGTCCCAACCTCGCTCTCCCATTTGCGTGAGGTTTAAGAGGTCTTGTTCAAGGTCCATTTTCAGCGAGGTGCTCGTTCATTCGAATCCGGTTCCGTCGAGGCTATTAGAACTCCGTTCGACGTCCTGTTCTCCTTCGAGTTGTAGCTGTCACTTTCCTTCTGTAATTCAAACTTGGAGATTTATTTTTTTCAATATAGTGAAGAAAGTTTTTCTCCTCAAAGGTCCGTTTCTTTTTCATTTCAGTAATGTTTATTGCCATGCTCCAGTCATATCTCTTTGAATTGTAGTTCTTTGTTGACTTTATTTGGCATGAAATTTTATCATAATATTCCGTGTTTAGTTATTTTCCATGATTAGCTGGTGTTTTAATTTTCATTATCAGTTGGTTTGATTGTTGAGCATTTTGGGAATAAAGGTATATTTATTTTTGATTTATATGAATCTAAAGTCATGTGTAGTAGTAGGAAGGCACGTGTTCTCTGTTTAAATTTGAGATAGAATAATTTGTACATGTTAAAGCAAAGATATCTTGGTGAGCCATATTTTGTATAGTTGGATCATGAGTGTTAATTAGATTTAAAGGGAGTAGGGTTTGTTTAATGAAGTATGTACTACTGAAAATGACTAATGGACAATGGACTAATGGAGTAGCTTGGTGAACTAGTAACCGGACCTACTTTTTAGTTGGTTTTAAAGGGCCAATTGTACTACGATCAATTTTAATTTATCTCGTCCAAAATAGTTTCTGTCATGCCCAATTTAGTAAGAGCAAAAGCTGACCCATTTTCCATAATTGATTTCCATAGCCCTTGACCTTAAAAAGATCTCAAAATCGTAAGGAAAAATAAATCATGAACACGTTCTAGTTGCTTTAGGCACGATTAATAAATCATCGTGACTATGGGTACGGTTTCCGTGACATAGTCATGATACGTAAATCCCAACTCAAGTGCGCGTTTCACGCAACTTGACCACAACTTCAAATAATTAAAATAAATATGCTGTAAATCGCGGATGCGTTTCACGTGGTGCGATTCGCAATATGTACAAAAACAACGAGTGCGCGATATCGCGACTTGTTCAAATAAATTCCATAAATATTAAAAGCGGTAAAAGACAAAATGCACAATATGTTTAAAACATGTAATAAATCAGATAATTAGGCCAAGTATTAATAGTTGAGCGATCGTGCTAAAACCACGGAATCCGGGAGTGCCTCACACCTATTTTCGGGTTAACAGAATTCCTTACCCGGTCTTCTGTGTTTGTGGACCTTAAAACATAGTCAAATTTTCTCGATTTAGGATTTTAAAGAAACCGGTGACTTGGGACACCATAATAATTATCCCAAGTGGCGACTCTGAACTAAATAAATAATCTCATTTCGATTAATGTCACTTTAATTGGAAAAACTCCCATATCCCCAGGGAAAAAGGAGGTGTGACAGCTCTGGTGACTCTGCTGGGGATAACGGAGCTTGGTAAGGATGGGCATTTCTGGGAGGTGGAGCTCGATTTTGTGTATAATACTGTGGCCGCGTGTACTGTCGCGCATTCATCACCGCATATGGAGGCGGTGCCACAGCATAAACAGCATCTTGATGGGGATAATAGTGTTGTGGGACCTTAGGAAGCATATATGATTGGTTGAATGACCTGCGGGTCCCCTCGAGCTAGAAGCCATCATGGCTCCCTCTCCCTAGTCTCTTTTCCAACATAGGGTCTCCACTCTCTAGTCTCTTTTCCAACGTAGGGTCTCCACTCCCTAATGGATTTTATTTTAGACATAGAGTCTCCACTCCCTAGTGGATTTTATTTTAGACATAGGGTCTCCACTCCCTAGTCTCCTTTCCAACATAAGGTCTCAACTCCCTAGTTGATTTTATTTTAGACATAGGGTCTCCACTCCCTAGTCTCTTTTCCAACATAAGGTCTCAACTCCCTAGTTGATTTTATTTTAGACATAGGGTCTCTACTCCCTAGTCTCTTTTCCAACATAGGGTCGCAACTCCCTAGTTGATGTTATTTTAGACATAGGGTCTCCACTCCCTAGTCTATTTTCTAACATAGGGTCGCAACTCCCTAATTGATATTATTTTAGACATAGGGTCTCCACTCCCTAGTCTCCTTTCCAACATAGAGTCTTCACTCCCTAGTTGATGTTATTTTAGACATAGGGTATCCACTCCCTAGTCTCCTTTCCAACATAGGGTCTCCACTCCCTAATTGGTGTTATTTTAGACATATGGTCTCTACTCCCTAGTCTCCTTTCTAACATAGGGTCTCCATTCCCTAGTTGATGTTATTTTAGACATAGGGTCTCTACTCCCTAGTCTCTTTTCCAACATAGGGTCTTCACAGCTGTCACACCTCTTTTTTCCCGAGGGATAGGGGAGTTTTTCTAATTAAAGTGACATTAATCGAAATGAGATTATTTATTTAATTCAGAGTCGCCACTTGGAATAATTTATGGTGTCCTAAGTCCCCGATTTATTTTAAAATCCCAAATCGAGGAAATTGACTCTATTTATGGTCCGCGAAACATAGAAGACCGGGTGAGGAATTCCGTTAACCTGGGAGAAGGTGTGAGGCACTCCCGAGTTTCGTGGTTTTAGCACGGTCGCTCAACTATTAATAATTGGCCTAATTATCTGATTTATTACATGTTTAAAACCTATTGTGTATTTTTAACTTTTATCACTTTTAATTATTTATTTAACCGCTTTTGTATTTATGGAATTTATTTGAACACGTCGCGATGTCGCGCACTCGTTGTTACGGTACATATTACAAATCACGCCACGTGAAATGTACCCGTAATTCACAACATGTTTATTTTAATTATTATTATTTTAAATTGAAGTCAAGTCACGTAAAATGCACACTTGAGTTGGGATTTATGTATCATGACTTTGCCACGGGAACCGTACCCATAGTCACGATGATTTATTAATCGCGCCTAAAGCAAGCTACGAATGTTTATGAGTCTATCTTCCTAAACTAATTTGAGATTATTGTGAAGGCCATAGATTATGGAATTTATTTGTGGATGACATGTCTTAATTGCTAATGGATCATTTAGGACTTGATGGCCAAAAGGCTCTTTCAATTCATCTTATAATCTATAGAAATATGTCCCAACTGATAGTAATACATTAATTAATCCAATCGTTCTTATCATTAAAAAGTTATTCCTAAAGTCCAATCATTTCATGTGAATGTCCAACTCATTTTTCAAGATATTAGTGTATGGCCCAATTAGGAAATAATTCATTTACCAATTAAGCTTTGAGTCCATATTCTTAGCACTAACAATCATTCCAAAATAACGATAGCAGTGAAGCAAAACTCACGTCTTAACACCAAAAGGATAAACCAAGGAATTCAAGGCATGGAATTATACTGGGTTGTTGTTGTTGTTGTTTCTCTCTATAATAGGATGAAATCCACGAATGTAATTGGTGTTTCCTCATTTTATTCTCTCATCTTCATCTTATTAAGATTGAACTGGTTTCTAAATGACTTACAGCCATAACATGGTCAGCACGAGTCAAAGTGCAATACATGAAGCAGAAATTGAGTCTTTTTGAAAAGGTAAGCGAGTTGATGTGCTGAAAGTGAGTTGAACATGTACTTCTGGAAAGATATAACTCTAAACAGTTTTAAATGGTTAATAACGTAGGATATCAATTGATCAGGTTAAGATATTGATGCATTAAAATTATGCTTAGGTAATTATCTCCATATGAATCAACAATCAATCAATATTAATCCTTCTTTCTTTTCCAAAGAAAGAAAATAGACTGCACCAAAAACAGTAAGCAACTACGCTAAAATATCCATCAAAAACAACAAGTGAAATAGTAAACCAATCGTGAATCAATCCTTAAGCAAAACAGGAAAAAAATAACATTCAAACTTATAGCA